CAACTCAACCTTCAACTTCAACGTATCAACGACAAGATGGAGAACTGGCCACGTACAGGAGGCGTCGACAGCAGCGCGACGAAACCGGCCATAGATCTGGACGACGAGCGACAAGTAACAAAACAGTGTTTGCAGATATGCGAGGATGCGAAGTTGTATTTGGAGTCCTTGGCGTGTCGCGACTCACCTCTGCTAGATCAGCCCGCCCTGGGAAGCTCTGCGATTCTCCAGCAAAGGTTTGAAGCTCAACTTTTGACTCGCCAGGCCCTCAATGACAACCAGGCAAGCTTGGTAAATATCATTACTCGTCTTCGCGAGCGACTCGAGACTGTTCTTACGGACGGAGATTCAGGCGAAAGGCTACGGTTGAATGAAGACATGCATGCATCAAGGCAATGCCTAGAAGTGTGTAAGCTGGCGTCTAGTGAGGTTACCAATCAAAAGATACACATCATTGGGGAAGTGGTTGCCGACGGGGATAGTGACCATGTCGTCGTGACAACGCTGGCAGACCTTTTCAATGTTGGAAAAACAATGTCTAACAATCGATCAGCACTGCTCGTTGGGTCGATGAGCGATGATGCTCTTGTGCAACTATCCCACGACCGTTACAATAGCCGTTTTGGAGCTCTGGCGTCGAGCAGCCCGACTATCCACAGCCGCCCTGCCGCTGTGAACTCCGGGAACCCTGGGACGTCGAGCGTTGGTTCGTTGGCGGGGCACCATGCTCGCAGGAAAAGCCAGCACTCGCAACGGAACTCTCCTTCATCAAACGAGACAAGGCGAAGAATGGTAGATGGAGACCTAACCCATGAGTCTAAATGAGGAGCAGTTCGAAATTCGAGTTTTACCTGTGTCGTTGATGCGACGAGATAGCTATACACTTTTGCCATGTCTGTTCTCAATTGGGCAACCGCTGAGCGCTCTCGATGACCATTCCTCGTAACCTCAAGTGTGTGGCTCCCAGGAAGAGTGGCATCCATTTTCTTGGAGTATTGCCTTACCCCTTCAGGCAAACGCCGTTCACCTTCCAAATATCCTACGTTTGATGAGTATAAGTCTGACCTCGAAGCGATCTCAGCGATTTTACCATTCATCGCTCTAAATCTATGTTTAAGATTCTCAAATCCGGGTGATTCAGAGGGACACTGATATGGTGCGCTGTCTCAATTTTATCAACGACCTCGCTGCCAAGCCATAGCACATGAGGAGCAGGCACGCTTGTCTGTGCCATTTGGTGGAAAAGGCCGTGCCAGAGCTGTGAGGAAACTGAAGCGATTGGTTCCACGTCCATCGCTGCGGCGAAAGCGACGAGTAGGAAGCACAAGCTGCGATCTGAAAACCACGCCTTGCGGACTTCTTGCTGGGCCGGGGCGTGTCTGCGATCGAAGAGCTTCTTGTAGCTTTGTGTAAAATCGGTCTTTATCGCCTTAAGGCCACTTGTCTTCTGCAAGTAGAGAGTCGCTTGGGAACGATCTTTACTTATGATAGCAAACCCCCAGGATTTTCTGTGCAGAAAGGGGAATACCAGCTTCCCTAGGCCTTGTTGGCGCACTCGCACCGATTTGACGGTGGCGGTAGGGTCAACGATGCTCATTTCTCCTGGTCGTAAGCCTTCAAGCTGCCGCAGTAGATTGCCAAATGCAATAATTCCCAAGGGAGGAATCACACGCCGTGGTTCATTGTTTAAACAAGCCGTCGCAGCGGACAACACGCTGATCCAAGAACGTGGACTGACCGTGCCGTGGAGGGTGACGCCCATGGTGCTACAGAACCCGACGATTGCTGTGGAGAGTTCGTCGTCTGACTTTTCATTTGCCCCTGTGCAAATCGTAGTTGGCAAGTTTCCTGACACTTCATGTCGCTGAGTGGATTCGGTTACCGTGACGGGATCTGCCAAGCTGTTCAGCAAGAAATTTGCCACTGAGAGCAAACGTTTCTTACTGATGCTACTGTGGCCCCGGCCTGCTTTGGCTTGGTCAAATGGCGACTTCGGCGAGGTACCGCTGTTTTTCTTGTGGCCACCGTCCTGAAAGCGATTGTATTCTATTTGTCGATGAGAAATGGGTACATAAAACATGTGGACTGCCACATACCGGATGCGAGCTCTCTTGTGGCTAGCCTTAATTCATCATTGTCATCGCTTTGGAGACGGCGACATACAGATTCATATAGACGTTTTATATCTTCTGTCAGTGTCACCGTCTTGCAATATTTCAAGAACGTCTTTGAGTCCCTGACGAAGTAATCAATATGCCTCAAGGGCGCTCGATGTATAATTACCAGTTTCAACCCAAAAGGGGCGTTTTGAAGAGGCGCGGCGTCACCTAGACAAGCACGCACCCCAGCCTCAAACGCCGGCGATTCATTCTTCCTCTGGCGCTTGACGAGGTCTGGCAAATGCCTTTTGATAAGTGTACGTACCTTGGGCATCGCGACAAGCTTGGAAAGTAACCATTTCAATCTCGGAGGAAAACAAATGCATGGGAGTCGACCACGAAGCTGCAACTCACTGCGCCTCCAGGGCCACGTGACGCGGATGCGCCCTCGCACTAAATTTCCGCTTTGCAATTCCACACCAAATTCCATTTTGCGATTTTACACCCAATTTTCTGTATTGCGATTTTGCACTAAACTTTCCGTTTTGCAAATTTACACCAAATCTTCCGTTTTGCGATTTTGCACCAAATTTTCCGTCCCAAATTGCACGCAGGTAGCCATCGCAAGACTCCTGCCATTGATTTAGAGTATCTTGTAAAGAATGGACAGAAATAGTATTCGTGCTTCTCAAAGCTCCGGTTGCTGCGCACGCGAGCCTACGTCTTAACATTGGATGTCTGCTAGACTACCTGTGCATCCTGGAAGACAATGCTCAAACCGCCGCGCAAGCTGGGAATACTCGCTGTAGCAGGCCCGAAGCCACTACGAAGTTGTCACTGTCGACGACATCAATGTTTCTCATTTAGTCTGCTACGGAACTCATGGTAAGGCCTAGGTCGTCCAAGCGTAAGATTTCTGGTCCCATCTGCAGACTGCGCCGAGAAATGACAAGAATGACACGAGGCGGTTTTATTACGAATCGACTTGATGCACCGTTGTCACTTTCTCAACAACCAACAATCACAGTTTAAGCAAGTGGAAGAAGATGATAGGTTTCAAAAGTTGAATTTATTTTTGCACGTTCAACTCTGTATGCTGTGGTTGTTCCTGAAGCGGCTGCTCACGGTGAATCAGCGGTAATGAGGGGATTGTATGAGAAGCTCGACGAGAACTGCGGCTCATAGTGCGGATAATTTGGTTTTGCATCACTAGCTGTTGTCGCAAATCCTCTAGCCAGCATCCTTGCGTCCTCATCTCTCGCTGGAGATATGTAATCACGTTCGTGAGAATCTGCTTATCGCTGCGAAACTGTTGCGCTTCTGTCTGCAACGTCTCCCACTCTGTCATGCGTTCCGCCAGTTGACCTTGTTGCTCCTCGGCTCTCGGCTTATACACTCACTGACTGTTTTATTACGCCCGGTGGCTTCCAGCCAATAGGGCTCACTAGCTATGCCTAGGCTGTTTGACTACTGTAGTCGCCTCATCATTCCACCTACTCCTGCCGTTCTCCGATCGCTTCCACTTCGTCTCTCCATCCCAGCAAACCATTTTGGAGGGCGCAAGCAACGGTCAGCAGCAGGAAGGTTTGACGATTGACAAGCAAAGAGCTAGAATTGGCTTTTCATCACACCACGCGGCCACATCGACGCTTCGGTCGCTGCAGATAGTACTCTGAACACTTGGGGAATAGTCCTCAAGCTGGTTAGTCATCAGTAGTAAACAACGCGGAACGCGACAGTGGGCTACGTCACGACCATGGCAAAGCTGCACTATCCGAAAGCCTCCGTCGATCCACAGCAGAGAGATATGCTCGACCCCAAATCTCTCATTTGAATCTTTTTTTCCTTCTGTCGGATTGAGTACCTCTTCGTGGGGTTCGGTCTGTCTGTTGTAGGGTAGCTACCCGCTTACGCACTCTTAGGCGCCCGAATCGTGGCAAACGATCTAGCTCATCTTGGCCGTTTTCCGTGACCCACTGTCGATGTCAAGGGGGGGGAGCAGCTAGAAAGAACGCATCAGGCAACCCGATTGCGTCCAAAAGCACCACTAAAAAAAGACAACGGGCCAAGGGGAAGGCGGACAGTCAGAACTTGACGAGGCGCAATACTAATGACACTCTCCTGCTAACCAAGGTTGGCGCTGCCCGAAAATTGCTGCCCTCACAAAAGACAATAGGTCGAGAGAAGGTGGACGGACAAAACTTGACGGACAGAACTGGACGGGGTAAGTAGGCGGGATTTGCGCCACCAGTCATTAGTTCAACATGAGATTTGTAAGCTTTTCGAGCAACCAAATGCAATTACGGCAACCACTTTCGGATCTTGATTCCGCTTCAGCTATATTCCTCACTGCTTATATTTGCGCCAAAGCAGAGCAAAGTAGGAAAACTACTTGAGGGTTCTAAAGATGAAGCCGGATGAATTTGCCTGAAACCATCTACAGACGCTAGAAGGCCACAGCGGCTCGGCTACGTTCGTCGTCTTCTCTCACGACTCGACGCTCGTGGCGTCCGGCTCATGGGACAAGATGGTGCGAATCGGGCGGCGCACCGACACGGGCGAGAGCGTGCAAACGCTGGAGAGCCACAACTGTTCGGTTACGCGCCGCCAAACGTGCGCGGGATAGGCTTCATCGCGCACAATGTGCTGCACGTCGTGGCGATGCTGGCAAGGATCGAGCTGCTGCTGTGGGATGAGTGGGTGAGAGAGCCGTATGTAGCTGAGATGAAGGGGGAGGATATGCTGCTCATGGACAAGGTCGCGGCTGTGATTGCAAAGGAGAATGTCACATACGAGGATACGGGAAAGGTGATGGAGAGGGAAGGTGTGAAGGTGCCGGATACGGTGATGCTGTACGATCCGAATGGGAGCGACCCGGAGCCTGTGGATGTGAGTCAGGCCCTAATGGTGTAAAATAAAGCTGCAGTCCAAACTTTTCCGTCCACCGTGTCGTCTGGTTGGGCTGCTCTGGCGCGAAAATCTCGGGGAACTGAGAATAGTGTTGATGCGGGGTTTACGCGGCTAGACGTCAAGGATGGGTTTGGCTCGGTTGGTGGCCGTTCAGGCAGCAAGGGCTGACCCAACGATGAAAGATGCTCGTAGCTTTAGCCCTGTAGACTTGGCCAAAAGCGGAGCTGACCCGGCGGCCCCGATCTTAGGAGCCCGAAGCCAAGTGGATGACCAAGGCGTACTAAAAATAGTAGTTGAAGTTCATTTGCACCTCGTGCTGTGACACAATCTGACTATCTATACTATCATCGTGAACGATTGGCTATTCTCTATAAGCTCCATACCAAGCGTTGCACCGAAACCATCTGCATCCAGGTCTTCTTCCATCGTGTTTATCGTAGAAGTCTGGCGCCTCAGAGGAATGAAACCTTCCCCCTCCTTTTCAACCCAGGAGATGACATTTTCCACTGCGTCTCGAGGCGAATGCCTGTGCGCAATCAGAAATGACAAGATCTGAGCCGGGCTATATTTCATCGCAGGCACACGATCAGCGAACGTCGCTGCCAGCTCCTGGATATGCTTCTGGGTATCCTGAGCGTCTTGGTTGTTGACGACTCCTTCGTTCTTGTCTCCTACTCTCTCGGTCTTGCTAGACAAGGGCAGATAGACGTATCGGAACAAGCGCAGCAGCATCTCTCGACTTGCTAACCCGAACTCAACCATCTTGTCCACACGTCCTGGTCGAATGACAGCCGGGTCGAGGCGATCAACATGGTTAGTTGTCATGATCAAAGCTCTTCCCTCCACGGAACCTACTCCATCGATCGCGTTGAGAAGGCCAGAGAGTGTCACGCTGCTGCTTGTGCTCGACCCAGCATCGCTGTTTTCACGACTCTTTGCGCTTTCGATGGCATCGATGTCCTCTAGGAGGAGGATGCATCGTGTTGGCAGTTTGCGCATTAGGTCGCTCAGTGTCGCATCGTTGACTTTGGACAGGTTCATCGCGTAGACGTCTAGACCAAACTGTCCAGCAGCCGCCAAGCTGAGACTTGTTTTGCCAGTTCCGGGCACGCCATAGAACAAGTAGCCACGGTGGTAGAGCTGGTCGTGCTCGGCGTACCAAGCTACGGCCACTGGGTCAAGGTACTCCGCAATGTCGTCAAAGAAGTCCTTTTTCACGTCCTCGGGAAGGATGACAGTATCTAACCGCTTTTGACCCCGCCGCGTAGCGAGATTCCAGCGGTCATCGCTGTTCATGTAAATTGCTGTCTTGCTTTCCGTTTCTTTCTCCAGCGTGACCTGGCAATCGTGAAGAAATTCTTTCAGAATTCCGTTCGACGTACCCACGCAGGAGAGCAGAAACCGTTCACGATGCAAGTACCCTTCTTCTGGGACAGCGCGCAGGCAAAGAAGCTTTCTTTTGTACCAAAAAGACTTGCGTAAGTTGTTTGGACTGTACTGCAATGTGTTCTTTGTCTCTCCGTTCCCCGGCTCGGCTCGCTTTCCGAGAGTCACAATCGTGGATCGAGTATCTGTGGCGAACGGCTGAGATTGCACCCAGTTCCTCAGGGTGTCGTACGAATCATCGGAGGGGCGGAGCACCATAGAAAACGCTGAGAACGGTTAGAGTTTAGGTAGCTCCTGTGACAGCAACATGGTAGACCAACTGAAATATTTCTCCACGATCCTAGCAACACGGCCATGCGCAAACCTCATCAAGACAGTGACCAAGCCATAAATGCAGAGTAGGCGGGCGCCGAGATGAGATTTTCTAGACGTGAGGGGATGGATGTAGCTCAATGCAACGCCCAGTCCTGGGAAAAGAGTGTCCAGAAACGACACCTGCGAGTAAAGAGCACCAACTGCAGTGGATGCCATGATGTTGCAAGGCTGAATGATAATCAAGTAGCGCTCGACGGCATTAATGTTATGAGCTTGCTCATAGAAGAGAGAGGAGAGGAGCAAAACATTTCAGGAAGCCTTGAACTACATGGGGTCTATATAGACGGCGGAGGTGAGATCTGCTTCGCTCGCAATACAGCAGAGACGGTATCCCTTCTCACCTCCGCCTTCCTTTGGCGGTTATGGATCAAGAGACCTGCATGCAGAGGCTGACAATCCTGCGGGCGTACCAAAATATTCCTGCAGGCTAAATCTCTGTGTATATCGGCATCGATTGAGTAATACGCTGTGATCGGTTGGAGTGAGCCTCATGTGGAAGCAATTGCTTATCTTTCGGCCGCAGCGAACTATCAATTCCAACGACAGCCAACAATGCAGCTTACGGGGTCTAAAATGCGCGAACAACTCGTTGTCAACCCCATTCAACGTTCTCTGCGCGAGTTTGAAGCAAGGTAGCACGACGAGTGATCCCCTGTTCATTCTGCGTATGTACAAGAAGCACGACTCGAAATCCTCCCTGAGGGCTGGGTAGCACGACGCGGGATCCCTGAGGGCTGGGTAGCACGACGCGGGATCCCAACCCCGTTGTACAGTTGTGTGGGGCTGTTGTTGACTCAGCCACAACCCCGCGTGACGTTTTCGTGAGGGGTAGCTTGACCAATCCTTGCATGTTGCTGGGCGGACCAGGAGTGAAAGAATCATTTCGGAGGCAACGGCAGAAAGATTTTGTTTTCCTGGGATGGCGAAAGCTCCCGAAAAAGTTCGATCGAGCAGGCGCGTTCTATTTACGCTAAAATGGAATCAAACGCAATGTTGCTTGTTGCAGAGCTTCTTGACAGAGGATTTATCGAATTAGAGAATCCTGAAATAGGCAATCGTGTCGAAGAGTTGCACGAACGGCGTTTACTCTCCCCTTCTGGGCTGGATTTTCTCAAGACTATCCTTCATAATCAAGTAAGAATGAATTAGGTTAACTCCATAGTTGCCGTCTAACGCTGCCCAGTCTATTGAGTTTATTGCTAGGTCCTTACTGGGGCCTTGCAAGCTTGGGCATTGGCTGAAGTACAATGCAAGACCAGGCCATATTGAAGGCTGGAGGACAGGCGGTAGAGACGCTGGGCTGCGTGTTCTGCTAGTTCTTGCACTGGAAAAAGGATCCCGTGTAATTTACTATTCAGGCTCACAACTGCACGATCTGCCCGTACTGAAAAACGTACGAAATCGGGGCTTGCCCGAGACAACGCGGGCTGCCCTTGACGAAGCAGGTTGCATACCAATGGAGAAGTTCTATCCCGATGGAGCTCTGTGAGTTTATACCAAATGTCACACTTACAGTCCTAACAGAAAGCGCAGAGTTGTTACGGACGCTCGACTCTATCGCGAGATCGAAAGCGGAAATGTGATCAAGCACGCAGTGGTAGCGAACGATGCATTGACTGGGTGGCCTGTTTTGAAAGTAGAAGAGGAATTGAAGGAGAAGATCGGGAGCATACAATCGTCGATTGGGATCAATTTCGAAATCCAAAATCCCAACGACGTTGCTCATTCATAGCTCTTCACATGATGCAATTGAGATACCGAAAACCTGATTCAATGCTTGGTCCCAATTTACCGGCCAATTTGTAATCCGTGCAATATCAGGGTCGTATCTTCCAGCTTGTGTTGGCTCATTTTGTGCATAGGGATAAAATTCCCGCGTTATGTCATGCGTATTCACCGAAACTGATCCTGAGGCATCGATTGCCTTGCTAGAGGTATTCCCATTGCGAAGTTGCATTGCCACAATATCCTCGAAGCCAATAGCGGGAGCAGCTGCGGCGCTAACTGCGGGCACCAAAGTACCTTGGATAGCGTATTCATTGCCGTGGGTGGTCGGTGCTGTCTCGTCCAACCTGGGTCTTCGGGCTTGTTGAATCTCTGCATTGGCATCCGTCCCGTCCAACCTTCTCTTCTTCACGTATAATTGTTTTGCGCGGCGCAGCTGGCGGATCACCTCCGCGTTGATTTCTCGGGATGTCTGTTGCATGTATATCGTCTTCGTACCATTTTCGCCTTGGTGATAATACTTGACATGGCGTAGAAACTCGCTCGCAATCTTATATGACTTGTGACAAAACACGCACACTTCGCAGCACTCAACATCTGCAGAAAATGTGTTAGAAGAAGCAGTCAGGAACGGAAAATGGAAGGAAGGGAAGAATACGAGTTGCGAAATGCCGGCGGAGTCCCTGGCCCTTGCGAAAAGTTCTGGAAGGCGAGCAGCTTTCGTGAGGGCAGTGCTTAATAGACTTGTCGAGATCATCGCAACCGTTAACGTCATCGCTATCAGTTCCGTCACTATCGGTAGCTTTTGAGTGCAATGCGCACTCTGTGAGCCGACCAGAATGAAAGTCAATTTGAAGCTGGGTCGAGTCAGTTGCTGAAACGTTTTGATTAGGAATTCTAACCTTATAATCATCGATATGAAGCTTTAGTGCTTCTTCAGTTGGAAAGGAGGCACGACAAGCACAGCGATAGGATTCGCCTGACATCTTTACTTAGGTGGTAGATGAAGATGGAGCTGTGTCAAAAGTGTAACGACTTCGATAGGTGTATTTCGCTCTCGGCAATTAGTTATTCCGATACAGAGCCCAACTAGGCTCACGCATGTGAAAACGCGGAATGATTGCCACGGCTTCTCCCCATGCAAAACCACATCACGTCCCTCTGACCACGATCCAAATATTGCTAGGCAAGCTAAAATTCCGTGGAAACAGAAATTTCCCTTCCCTCTTCCAAAGCCAGCGATGGCCACCTGCGAGACGTGCGACGGTAAAGGTCTCAAGGGAATCGTCTGCCCAACATGCGGAGCCGACCCAAAGTCGTAGGACAAGAATCGCATTGTGAGTGAATATAATTACATGTGCTTTCATCGCTGACTATTTCTCACTTGAGAAGATGCATCGGAACCGACTGGTTCGAATAGTCATTTGTGAAACGCTCGAAAAATGGATGTTAAATGAAGACGAAAAATGATGAATTTGATAGTGGAAGCATAGAAATTGATATTTACTGAACTTTTCACCCCACCCATCCTCTCTGCTTGAAAATCAACTGTCCAGCAATTTTATCCCATGCCATGCAAGCCCAATCTGAATACATCGGGCCTCGTGACGTCACCTTGGCTAGGCAAGTCCAGACACAATTGGACATAGCCGGCACCACGGAATTCCTATTTGTCTTACACTAGAGCTAACTGCCCCCTTTGGTAGCGCCTGCTCCTATTTCTCATCAGTAATTCCTTCTCCCCAGTCCTTCAACTTGTCAATAGGGCTCTAGCCATTCTTTCCTGTCTTCCCTTTGCCTAACGTATTTATCTTCATACGCAGATACGACTTGAAATCAGCCTTGATCAGATCTTCATCCTCCAAGGCCCGTGACTCTGTGTGCTGTTTGATGGAACCAAAGAAAAACTCTATGGGATTCAAGTCTGGGGAATATGGCGACTGCATTATCAGTAGAACACCAGCCTCAGCAAATTTTTCTTTGACCGCTAGGGAGATATTATGGAATGAGGCGTTATCCATAAAGATCACCGATTGGGGTTCCGGGTATCTACCAAGTCGGGGCAACAGCCTAAAGAGGTAGCCTTCGAAGAATTCCAGGTCCGTATAATCCTCGTATATTTCGCAGTAGATGACGCCATTAAGAGTGTATGCCGGCAGGAAGGAAATTCTTTTGCCGCGGTGAAATGGTTTTCTCTGGACTGGAGTTAGGCCTATGGGCGCATAGCCCTTCTTCGGAATCGCTACGCTACGATCGTCTCTGCCCTCGTCTAGGAACACCATCTGCTCTGCTTCAAAAAGTGATCGCCTGTATATGTAATCGTCTCGAAGTATCGGGTTCTGCTCCTTGGCAAATGTAGCCATTACTTTGTTCGACCACCTTGTCCGCTTAACCCACCGACCGATGGTTGCTCTAGACACACGAACGCCGTACGCCTCGTATAAAAATTTGCGCTCGCTGGCTCATGCTTGGATACTCTTGTAACTTTCCCTGCAACGCAAGACCCATGTTCTCGGTAATTTCTCTAGGCCGGCCGACAGGTTTGGACGGGGCGTCGATCGTGCCGTGTCGGAGGATGTTGGAGCGTGCATTGCATACGGACTGAGTGCTACAGCCAATGACTTCTCGAGCGATTTCTTCATCACTTATTGTCTCATCACCCTTGAGTTTAGTCAGGATTACGCTTTCGAGCTCCTTTCGACGGAGTTTGGACAGCCTAGGTGCCATTTCGAGTTGAAATATGTAGCAGGGAAAGTTGCCACGTAGACCCTAGCATGACTGGTGCCTCTATTAAGCCCACATTCGGATGGCGGTAGAACATAGCTCCGAAAGTAGCTTGAGCTCCGTCGAAAGTACCTAGTGCGAATAAGTGTCTGGTAACACTATGCGGGGCAACCTCAAACGTTAAACAGTGTAAGGCGGACATCAAACTAATTTTGCGCTAAACAAAGCAGTGCCCTCGGAGCAATGTGCGTGCGGGCAGGCAAGAGAAACGGTCAAACATTTTCTTTTAGAGTGCCTGCAATGGGATGAACAGCGAAAAGAGTTACGAGCATGCACGAGCACGAGATGGGATGATTTGTCATACCGACTAGGAGGAAAGTCGGCATCAGACGGACCGAACTGGAAACCAAACATGGGGGCAATCCGAGCAACGATACAATATACACTCGCCACAGGAAGGTTCGACAATTGACAAGCCAAGAACTAGAACAGGCTTTTCATCATACCGTGCGGCCACATCCACGACAACATGACTAGCGACGCTCCGGTCGCTGCAGATAGGACTCCGAACACTTGGGGAATAGCCCTCAAGCTAGTTATTCATCAGTAGTAAACAACGTGGAACGCGAGCTGCTGGGATGGAAAGACGAGGTGGAAGTGATCGGAGAACGACAGGAATCAGTGGAAAGGATGAGGCGAATAGTCAAACAGCTACTTAGATATAGCTAGTGAGCCCTATTGGCGGGAAGCCACCGGGCGTAATAAAACAATGAATGAATGAATACCATGGCATGCCCTGATTATTTTTTGTACCTTGATAATCAAAATCATGCCTTGCAGATTCGACTTGGAGAGATTTAAGCTCAACATGAAGGCCATCACGGCAAATGGCATGAAGAAAGCCCCCCGGACTTTGTGCTGGCATTCAATTCATTCGAGGCTGAGTTGAAAAAATGCATTGATTTACTAATGACGCAATACTCGCTCAAAGTATGTCCGCCGCAGTCGAAGCCGATTCTGAAGCCATCGAAGAGTTGAATTTTAAGGAGATGCAAGCTGTCTTGACAGCTCCATGCGCTACTAGACTAGCTCCGAACCGTTCAGCGTATAACTTCCTACATGAGACAGGAACGAGGAAACCGTAGAAGACGGCGTGTCAAACTGGCATCACAGCGAACGCCGGCAGCCGCTGCGGCCGTCTAATGTGGCTGTGGCTATCAACTTGGCTATGCATAGCACGTGTGTCTCGGAACAACACTTTTTACGGACACAGCCGTGACATCAGTACATCTTCACGTTGGAGCTAAAAGGGACGAGATAATGTGCGGGGTTATTCGTTTGCGTGGGGCACACTTCGAGCGATATTTGCCTTTCGACATAATCACGCCACGCCCTCAAGTTCGCATTGATTCACACTATGATGAACTCCATTGCCATTCAACCCATTGTCTGTGGCAACTGGCGGCGGGACGGGCCTTATTGTAAACATCCTGGGCTCAAAGCTTGCGGGGGATGCCGGCTGATTGCGGTGAGTGCATCTTCCTGACTGGCACCATCCGCAACTAATGGTAGGGAGTATTGTGGAGAGAGTTGTCAAAAAACGCATTGGTCTATACATAAAAAAGCATGCCGTTCCCCGATGGCTTCCTCAACATGGCGTCCGGCATGGGAGCGCGAGGGCCGTGAACCCTCCTGGGCGGTGGGACTAGAAGCTGGGAATGCCCACAATCCATTCGGGGGCTGCAAATTTCTATGGGGCAACACACCAGCTATTGACGTTCTTCAAATAGACCGCAATGAAGGCAGCGCATACCGCCGAGACATTGCACTGCTGTTCGCAGGTAAGTGCATTTAAGTGCATTGGGGCAACCTGTCAACTCGGTTTCTGATTGTCTAAGCCTCTGGTGACCTGCGTCATGTCGTAAAGACAATATCCGCACTGCAAACATCCGTGAAGAGGCATGTCGCCATTGATATCAACGATCTAGAATTCAGTGTCGTAGCACGGAATGCCATTCTGCTGCTTCTGGCACTCAAAACTCAAGCCTCCTCTGTTGGCTGCTCAGAGAGTCCCGCTCCCGACATCGCTGATGCTATGATTCACATATGGTATTCTGCTTTTCTTCCGGCCAGAATATTGCTCCTACTGCAGGAGGTAGTCAAACCTTTGTTAGATGACGTCTGCAGCCAAATTGGTGCCCGCGATCCGGAAAAGAAGCAAGGGAAAACATGGAAATTTTCGGACCATTGCACATTCCGTCTGGTCTTGAAGAAGTCGGACTGGATCCGACTACGCAAGTTTCCTATACTCGTCCCATAATTCTTCCACAGCCGCCTTGCCTCTAGACAGCCAATCTGGATGCTCCGCCCATTGAGACTCAACGGTTGACCAGCGGAACGCAGGATGCAGCACAAGGGCTGCGAGGTAGGCAGGACTATCATCTGTGAGAGTGTAGTATTGGTCCAGCTTCATCCAACCTAAGTTGCAGCCAATCCGTAAATACGGTTCCTCATCTCGCTCATGCCGTAATTTAGACTCCTCTAGGTGCTTCAAAAGCCACTCCATTGTCAGAAGAACCTCCCAAGTTGCTCCAAATTTACCCTCTTTTGGGCGACCCTCGAGACGTTTGGTTGCTATTTTTAGTGGCCTTAGAATAGCCAAATACTCTGCGATCACAGACCAGTCATCAGCAGACATCTTGTCGTCGACTATTGCGGGCCTTTTCCGACTCTTCTTTGGCATTGGTCTCGCACCGTTCTGCGTTCTTCGACACACGTACTGATCCCACTCCGTCACCTCCGCCTGGACGAGGGAATCTAGCGCGTTCCGAAGCAGATATCCTCGCTCCAGTTTTATTTACAAAAACACGACTTGAAGTCAGATCCGGAGCAATCCACCCCAACCCTCTGCGATTGGATCTTGAACCTTAGAAACTGAGCGCCCGCCCGTTTCTTTCTTCTGGCGCACGCTGAGCTTTGGACAGGCATGCTGAAGGCGTGGAAAGTGACTGCGGACCTCGTGCGTCCATGCTCCGCCACAATCGCCTTACCCTCCGTGCCTTTCCTCCGTTCTGGGCCTCGGCGCCTCCAGAGTGAAGTAAGGGGCGCCTCGCAAAATTTCCCACCGTGGCTGGGCTCGTATGCCAGCTTGGGATCACGTCCATGGTCCGCCATTCGCCAGGGATGCAGACCGATGTGCATGCGTGACGGCTCCATCAGGTGACAGGGGATAATCACCTTGCTGCGCCAAACGCCGTCCACGCTGCCATGCCTGCCACTTGCGTCATCCTGTTCAGGCACAGAAACCGCTGCGGCTTTGACAATCAGCCAGTGGTGTGGCCTCGCAGCACGCCAACGCGTTGCAAGTCTGATGTTTCTTGGGCTGCAAAGGCTATCCTCGGGCCGGCCCGGAACTCAGTCCGTGCTTTGCGAGCGCGCTTTGCTCTTTCGTGACCTCCACACAGTAGACCTTTTGTTCCTTACCCCACACCACCAATACGCCGCCACCAGCAGATTCTTTATACCCACACCACCAATACGCGCGCCAGGCTTCCACGGCCTGCGCAGCAAATTTCGTTTTACTCACACAGCCACCTTGTTGAGGTCGCCCGTCTCTGCCGCCCGCTGGGTTGCTGATCGAATGAACAGGCCAGGGTACGGACAGGGGTGCTGCGTGCTCGGCACGACTATTGAGTCTCATCCCAGCAACGCCTACGGGTCTCTGGTAGCGGTTTGGGTGGCCGGCCGGGTAGAGACTCGTTTGCGTGGGCCTCCTCGATGATCTGGTGGGCGCCCCATAGTGGACGCGACGCCTACTGCCAGAAAGTCGTTGCGCGTAAGATCTGGCGACTAGACAGGCACGGCGATGCGGATGGGTCGCGGGGAAGCGATCGTAGATGGACAGACGCAGCCAGCGATTGCGTAGACGCCGTGCCGCGGCCGCGCACACGGCCATAGGCTGGCGGTGACTGTGACTCAACTGTCGGTGTACAAGGTGCTCAAGGTTGTCTGCACAACTTCTTCAGTTTTCTAAGTCACCCTTGATCCATCACTCTGCAGCTCCAACACTTTTGTGATGCCATTTGTTGAACCAGCTACTCGGTAACCAGTGAGAGTTGTTGATGTCATATGTCGTCTGCACGGGAGCGGGTCCGCGTGCATGACTCGCATCCCTGATTCTGGTTCTGCCAGGCTAGCTCTGTGAGAGGTACACTCGAAAGATGATGCGGGCTGGTTTGGCAGGCATGCCGCCCATAGCGGGAACTCCAAGGAAATCTCTTGCTTCGTACGACCGGTC